CGAACCCCCAAAATCTGAAGCTTGGGGCCCCAAAGCCCTAAGGCCAGCCCCTGGGAGACGCGCCCTGGGCTGCGGGTCCGTTGTTGCGGCGTCGTTGCGATCATGCCCCTGCCCCGCGGCCCTCACCATTTGCGCTCCCGCGGTCGGCGGACTGAGCCGGAGGCTCTTAAGTAACAAAAATAATAAGGACTATAGTATATTGGGGTCTAGATTGGGGTCCGCCTATGTTGGAAAACTACTACATCCCCATCGAGCACAGGGCGTCTTGTACTACAAGCCTCTTGCTCCGTTCGAATGCGCTATGAAAAGAGCGACCCAATTAATGTAAGTCCACAAATAATACTTGGATATTTCCAAACATGAGGGTCCTTTTTGATATACCCTTCAGACAATATAATAGTCCATATCACTGGGGTCACAAAAAAAAGGCTTATGTTCCGGAACCCTTCAACTCCTATCCAAACCCTGACCCCGAAACCCTAACCCATACTCCGGACCAAAGCAACCAAAGGGGTCCTCGTAGCATTTAGGGACCAAAGGGGTTCTTATATGGGTTATTCTCGAATCTATGGGCCCCTTCGAGTATGAAGAATATTGCAGTACCTAATATTTATGGGTGCCAAAATAGGATCCTAATTCTGAAAACTACCCATATAGCTTCAGGGTTTATTTGCATATTGTACTGTAATCCCCTAGACCAAAAATGAAGACGTCATGCCGATTAATTCCTTTGAGTTCTCCTGCAATGGGAATCGAATAAAATGCGGAGGAAAGAGGTTCCCTGAATCCTAAACCCTCAGAACATAGAGTATGTAGGTGAGGTTAGAAGTATGGGCCAATGGGCCACTCATATGGGCCCTTAGACCTTTTCCGGGGATTTTAGGAACCCTTCAGGGTATAGGATCCCAGGGTTCAGGGCCCATACCAGGGGCCCATGGCTTCAATCTTAAAACATAAAGAATCCTAAGCCCGAAACCCTAAGTCCTATCCCGATATGAGAAACGTTCAGAAAGCCGAGCAAGCCTTGTAACGCTCCACAGCGTCGTCAAACTCCTGCTTGACAAGCAAAACCCTTAAACCCCAAACCCAAAATCCCAAACCCTAAACCCAACATCTAGTTCGAGTTCTGTGTGTCCGCGGGGTAATTCAAGGTCTGGGGTCTGGACTTTGGGGCCTAGATGTGGCTTTAGCGTTTTGAGGGTTTAGGGCCTTGGGTTTACGGCCTTGGTTTGGGGAGGACTATCCCAGAGGGACCACATATACAACCATTAGGCCATTAGGGAATTGGGACCCATAATTCCTTCTATAGTATGGTATTTTGGGGCCTAATTCCCTAATAGTTGAATATATGGACCCTCTGGGTATGCAGGCATTAACGTGCAGCCATGCTAAAACGAAGCCCAAAGAGCGTGCCAAGCTAACTCGGGAAGCCCGGGGAACGATAACAACCGAGAATGTCACAGCATCAAT